TCTATAGTGCGGCCATACATTTCTACAGTCTCGCTCACACGAGGGGTCCAGCGATATCTCTCTCTTTTACGATCCCATCTTGACTATCTACAATCCATTACATGATTCGTTTCGTACCTGATATACGCCTTTATAGTCCTCCTGTTACGCAGGACGTTTGACGTAATCAAAGTACGCAACTCCTCATGTTGGATTCCGTAGATATCTCAGGTCTTAGGATCCAATCATGGAACCGTCATATGAGATTCAAGTCATGACGCTAGTCCATGTGACAATCTCATGCGGGTCAATCCAGTATTCCGTTCTCCAACGAATACCTATGATTGTGATCGTATCCAAATACCTATGATCATCTATATGATCATCAATCACACATCATACTAGTCTTATTATGTCATCATTCCCATAATGACACAAGACTAGTGAGTTAAGTATCATTCATAATGATACATGGATTTCATAACACATCTAGTATGTAAGAACATGTAATGAATCAAATACTCTCATAAACCATAGAAAGTATCAATACATCAAATGTATCTAAATAAAGCTCATAAACAGTACATCATAGAACACTAAACCAACATCGATTTCTTCGATACGTATGCACTGGTAGCTAGAATAGCTACCATTAGATTGTTGATCGCTCTTGCAGCGATAAACAATCTTGTAATTCATCAAATGGATGTCAAGACGACATTCCTAAATGGTGATCTTGAAGAAGAGGTGTATATGAAGCAACCGGAAGGTTTCGCCTTATCAGGTCAAGCACACAAAGTGTGTAAATTAGTCAAATCATTGTACGGGTTAAAACAAGCACCAAAACAATGGCAACAAAAATTTGATGAGGTGATATTGGCTAATGGGTTCCATCTGAATCAATCGGACAAATGCGTATATAGCAAGTTTGACGAGAATGGTCATGGGGTTATCATTTGCTTATACATGGATGACATGCTCATATTCGGTACGGAATTAGAGCAGGTCAAGAAAACAAAAGAATTCTTGTCATCGAAGTTTTCGATGAAAGATCTAGGAGAGGCGGATGTTATCCTTGGAATTAGGATAATGAGAGATCACGGTATGATTTCACTTTCTCAATCTCATTACATTGAGAAAGTTCTGAAACATTTTGATCTCTACGATAGCACTCTTGTTTCTACACCGATGGACTGTAATGTTAAATTGGTAGCGAACAAAGGGGAATCGGTATCTCAACTTGAATATGCTAGTGTCATTGGATACGGAGAGTATTTCGATACTTGAAACAGACCATAAATTACGGTCTTCGCTACACGGGTCAACCTTCAGTGTTAGAAGGATACACGGATGCGAGTTGGAACTCAAGTGAGGAGGATCATGCCTCGGTGAGTGGTTAGCTTTACCTATTAGATGGAGCTGCAATTTCTTGGGCTTCCAAGAAACAAACTTGCATTTCTGATTCGATGATGGCGTTGGAGTTTATTGCCTTAGCATCTGCGGGAAAAGAAGTAGAATGGCTAAGGAATCTTGTATTTGAGATACCATTATGGCCTAAACCGGTATCGCCTATCACAATACATTGTGATAGCGCAACGACTTTGGCTAAGGCATATAGCCATGTGTATAACGGGAAGTCTAGACATATTGGTTTACGACATAGCTATGTTAATGGTCTTATAAAAGACGGGGCCATAGTGATGGATTTTGTGCATACAAAACAAAACTTGGTTGATACTCTTACCAAGAGTTTGTCAAGGGACACATTGCACAAAATGACAATAAGGATGGGTCTTGAGCCTATGGATTAAATCACAATTAGAGGAATCTTAATTTAACATCTAATACAACGTTAGATCTTGAGTTCAATGAGTTAAATCCTCTAATATATGGTTGTAGATGCTTAAAAGTGAATCATCCCGAAGTAGGCATCTTGGTATGCAACGTAAAGAGGTTATTTATACTTAATGAATTCTTTGACAAAGTGCTTAGTTGCAGAGCACGATTTGAAAGAATTCACCTATGCAAGCATGAAGTGTGGCAGCTTCAAGATGTTAGAGGCTCGACATCTATATGCTTGTGAAGGAGATATGTACACATGGCTGATCGATATAGTGTCAAGGAATACAAAAAATTGTATAGATTTTGTGTGTGTGTATACTCGATAGCTCAACTAGGATTACGTAGGTTCAATCGTTTTCGACACCTACGGAATTCGAGTTTATTGTTGTATATTACAAAGTGAAAGTTCAATCGTAAAGACACTTTCATTTATGCGCAGAATTGTGGAGATGAATGATTAGTTGCTTGATATGCCATTGTTTAATTTACTCTAAAATTGGTGGAGGATTGTTGTGATTTTTAGAGTAAATGAATGGGAATTTAGAATCTCTCAAAAGGATTCATGCTTCACGTGTATTACTAGTATGGTGGAGGAGTTAAATGCTTGTAAAAGGCGTGCCATGAATTGGTTAAGTGTTAAGGATTCGTCGGAAGAAATTACGTTCGGTTTTGAATGTGAAAAGTGATCTCTGAAAAAAAGGGAGGGCACCTCGAAAACATGGGAAGAGAGCCTGTTTTTTCTGAGGAATAAAGCCTAGAAATAAATGGGCGGTAACTCGAAAAAACGGGAGGGCAGCCCGTTTTTTCTGAGCAGTTCGGGAAAAAACGGGCGGGTAGCTCGGAAAAACAGACGGGCAGCCCGTCTTTTTCTAAACACTTCGGAAATAACGAAAAATCACGACCGTTCGGAAAAAAAACTTCCGATTTCTTCAGACCTTTCGACATTTGGAGTGTTTATAAACACCTCTAGACATCCTAACACGAGATAGAATAGATCTAACTTGTTTTTTGAGAGATTTGAGAGCACTTTTGTGATTGTTCTTGCAAAAACACTCACGAAAGCTTTTTGTTCATCTTCTTCTTGCGGTTTCTTGTGTTTGTGATCTTAGGAGAGCAAACTAAGATCATTTTTCTCTTCATTGTATCTCAAAAACGTATTCCGGGAAGTCCTTTGCTCGTATAGGACGGAATAACGTTTTTAGAAAAGTGTATCACGCTTTGAAGAGTTATCCGGTTCCCGATTTACTTTTCTTGTTCATTTTATATCTCAGATTCCTAACATATATATATTCTGCATTTTATAATATAGTCTCGTAAAATACTATGATCTAAGATTAAAATGTGAAAAGTTTCTTAGTACTTGCGATCGCAGAAGATTGGTTACAAAATATATGTAAAGCTTTCTTTTTTTTAAATGTCATATTTGATTTACATAACCAAAAACTGTAATTGTTTAAATAATTTATAAAATATAAACTAAACCGCCCAATAACCTAGAAAATGGATAGATTAAACCCACAAAATGGGCACATAAACTACAAAGCTAATAATTGCAAGTTTAACTAGATCATTCTTCTAGAAATTTTTATTTGGAATTTTTCTAATAATTTATAAAGTAAGAAAACGAACCCTTATCTTTCATTTGTAACAGCAAATCTATTCATGAAAACTTCCCCAAATTTTTTTGGGTTCTAATCATAATATCATAAGGGGTTTTCGTTATTATTTTAAACTAAAGGGTCCTTTTCTGTATTTTCTAGAACTTTATGGGAGGCAAACGAAATACACTCAACCACGCGCTTTTCTTGTACTCAACTGATTACTTGGTCTGGGCCTCTTCAATGTTTTACCGCTCATTTTCACGACAACGCAACCTTCAAGTGACCCGATGGCGCGTGCACTACACGCACACAACTTGCAAATAGGAAAGAAGGTCACCTACTACTTTCTATTTCTATTTCACCTCTCTCACCTAATTTTGTATATTATTTATTCCCCAACATACAAAAATAATTTATATATCCCTTTCAATATATTTTAGAGAGCGCCATTTTTTTAATTGCGGGAAAAAAGAAAAAAGCTAACTGTCCTATTCAAGCAGTAAACCGTCGAATTTTTATTTATATGTAACAAATTTATTATAACGTGTTCCAATTGGTTGCCATAACAATAAGAAAAGAGATAGATTGGTGTAATTAATTAATTTACTAAAATTTTAAACATTTATGTTATTATCTACGCATAAGAATCAAGATTACTTGCTGAATAAGCCCAACTTGGAGTATAAATTAACAGTCAAAGAATTAATTCTACCTTTAAGATTCTCTCTTTATTGTCTGAGCAAAAAAAAAAAAAAAAAAAAAACAGGGGTCGAAAAAAAAAAAAAAAACAGGTGTCGAAAGCAAAGCCAAGAAGATTGCCGAGAGGCTGAGGCCGCAAAAACCTCACGAACCCTTCTCCTTTGTCTTCTTTCTCTGTTCGATTCAATTCCAGGTAACATAAAGTTAAAACCCAGAGGGAAAATTTTCTGAAATTCTCTCTCCGAAGTTGCAGAAATGGAGGAGATTCTATGCGACGAGCTTCTTCAGGAGATATTTACGAGACTGCCGCCGTCTTCCGGATCGGTTCCTATGGTCTCCAAGCGGTGGCTCCGTCTCTACAGAGCCTCGAAGACGTCTCTCTCCCTACGAATTGACCCTCGGAATGGCTCTGTAACTACCCTTTTGCCCTCTCTTCTCCGGCACCATCCTTTCGTCTCTGCTCTGTCTCTCGTCTTGTCTCCGCTTGACCGCCAAAATCAGAGCTCGACCGCCATGGCGGCGTTCTCTGAACAGACCCTGTCGATGGTCTCCTCTTGTTGCTCTAATCTCAGGCGCCTCAGGTTCTTGATCGGTCCGGTTTCTCTGACTTGTCTGCCTTCTCTCTCTGCTTCTTCTTCAGTTCTGACTTCTCTCTCGCTCTGCTTGTCGAGACCTGTGTCGTTCACTTGGGTTGCTTGGTTTCCATGTCTGAAGGAGTTATCTATTTATGTTTGCTGGAGAGACTGTTCCGATGACAAAATCGGTTGGAATTCGCCATCTGGGTCGTGCCCGAACGTTGACCCGGCTTTGGAACTGGGGCTTGAGTCAGTTTCTTTATCGGGAATTGGGTCGAACGATTCTGGCGTTAACTGGCTATGGAAAAGCTGTAGAAAGATGAAGAGATTGAGATTGAAGTGCTGTGAAAGCGTTGGAGACATTGCGTGTTTCGGTTTGTGTCTGAAGAATGTCGAAGAGATGGAGCTAAGAACATGTAGAAGTATAGTGGATGTGGTTCTGCTGAAATTGTCAGAGAATTGCGATTCTCTGAACTCTCTATTGGTGTATGACGGCGGAAGTAGAGAAGGGTTGGTTCAATTCATGAACAACTGTAGATGCAATATACAGAAACTCGATTTACGTTTGCCTCTAGACCTTAACGACGATCATCTCACGGCCATAGCCACAAATTTCAGAGCTTTATCTTACCTTAAGCTCCAAAGCTGTTGCCTTGTCACTGGTGAAGGTCTGAAGACACTAGCTTCGAGTTTAAGTTCGAGTCTTGAAGAACTGTCTCTGGTTAACTGTGACGCAGTCGAACGAGAATCGGGATTGCTGACAACATTAGGACAGCATTTGGTGAAACTAAAGAAGCTAGAGCTTACGTACAACGAATCCTTACCCGACAAGGAGTTCGTCTCGATGGTGGGTTCTTGCCGATTATTGGCAGAGTTGAAGCTGAGAGGGTGCAAGGCCTTGACGGGTGCGGCATTGGTCTGTTTGATCAAGAGTTGTGAGAATCTAAGAAGCATCGATATCACGGACTGCCGTGGGATCGGGGCGGAATCTGTTCAGACGTTCCTCGTGAACTGTCCGAGGTTGAGGAGACTTGCCGTCGAAGAGAGTAAGCTTACGGATGATGCCAAGACATGGGCATCTGCCAAGTTCATCCAAGTGGTTTCTTGATCAATTTAACCAGATCCACAATATGTATTTATAGGTAAATAAAATACACAGCAACACATATATGATGATGACGCTGATCTTCGATCTCTGCTGCGTCTGTGAACTTTGTATCTCTACTTATGTTGATGCTAAATGCGTAGGCGAACTTTGCTCAAAACCGGTTCGTAAACATGGACTATATATGTAAATAGCATTAATAAAGATGATCATGTTGAATGATGCATTATGATTTTTACGAGGAATATATATATATAATTTGTATCTTGCATGAATATTTTTTAAAAATTTAAATGACAATATTTAGGTATGTTGTGTAATTTTACATGGGTTTGGGTTTTAATTTCATCTTTCGGCCAGTTGCTTTTGGATGATGCTTGCCACTCAAATATGGGCCCACTGATTTTTGTGGGCTCTACGTCGGCACTCTTGGGCTTTGATTATTAAAAAAAAATCATTACGTCATACGTGACGAATGATATCCCTGAATTATTATTATTATTAATTATTATTATTATTATTATTATTATTATTATTATTATTATTCATACGTGACGAATGACTACGTCTCAAGGTCACGGTTCTTTAAATGTGGCGGGTCCCACATACCGACGTGGAAATTAAACGCTTTGTTCAGTCACCTACTACTTTCTATTTCTATTTCACCTCTCTCACCTAATTTTGTATATTATTTATTCCCCAACATACAAAAATAATTTATATATCCCTTTCAATATATTTTAGAGAGCGCCATTTTTTTAATTGCGGGAAAAAAGAAAAAAGCTAACTGTCCTATTCAAGCAGTAAACCGTCGAATTTTTATTTATATGTAACAAATTTATTATAACGTGTTCCAATTGGTTGCCATAACAATAAGAAAAGAGATAGATTGGTGTAATTAATTAATTTACTAAAATTTTAAACATTTATGTTATTATCTACGCATAAGAATCAAGATTACTTGCTGAATAAGCCCAACTTGGAGTATAAATTAACAGTCAAAGAATTAATTCTACCTTTAAGATTCTCTCTTTATTGTCTGAGCAAAAAAAAAAAAAAAAAAAAAAAGGGATTATGATTTTTACGAGGAATATATATATATAATTTGTATCTTGCATGAATATTTTTTAAAAATTTAAATGACAATATTTAGGTATGTTGTGTAATTTTACATGGGTTTGGGTTTTAATTTCATCTTTCGGCCAGTTGCTTTTGGATGATGCTTGCCACTCAAATATGGGCCCACTGATTTTTGTGGGCTCTACGTCGGCACTCTTGGGCTTTGATTATTAAAAAAAAATCATTACGTCATACGTGACGAATGATATCCCTGAATTATTATTATTATTAATTATTATTATTATTATTATTATTATTATTATTATTATTATTCATACGTGACGAATGACTACGTCTCAAGGTCACGGTTCTTTAAATGTGGCGGGTCCCACATACCGACGTGGAAATTAAACGCTTTGTTCACACGTGTTGGCTATAAACCGGACAAAACTCCAAAACGCAGCCGCCACGTCCCGCTTTTACCGGGCTGACTCGTGTTTTTTTTCCGCCAAATCGACTCTTTTTTATTTTCTAGGGTTTCCAATTTTCCCGCCAAAATATTTGGGCAGCTCGGGCAGGGCAAGATATCATCTCAGCACGAAACCGCGATAAAAGGAGGGGTAAAAATGTCAAAATAAATGTCGAGGGACAACAAAACTCATCTTCAAACCTACGCGTTTAAGGCCAGTTAAGAACATTGTCCGGAGCCATTGACACCATCTTTAAGATATTTCTGAAACTTCAAAAATTGTGATTTGATTTATAAATAAAACATTAATTAATTAGTTATAAAATAAGTAGAATATGTTTCGGCATCGGATACCCTTGGCGGCCCATGTCTACGTGTCACCTCAAAAATCTATACTTCACTGTGCATTGGATTCGGTTTTTTTCAGCGTGTGTATAATATATATATATATATATATATATACGTATGCTTATAGATAATCTCTTATTACAAAAACCCGCACTCCCATTATTATCCTCTCGAAATTCTCCATTAAACTGAAGAGAAAATTACATATTAATATACAAATTCATATAAAAAAAAATCTTAAATAATCAGGTGGGTGGTTGGAGTATGGGGTGACGCCCATGAGGTGGAGGTTTGATCCCTTATCGCCTCACTTCCTCTGACATACTCGTATGTCAGTCTCTGGATTGATTTACCTCCCACGTATGTATTGCAGACTCATATGCGTAGACTTGGGTTTTCTCAGGTCCGCGACGAAAGTCCAGCCCGAAAGGTTGTAGGATAGAGTTCTCCAATATTATCAAAAAAAAAATAAGGCACAATTGTGTTGTATATTAATAAGTTTTTTTTTTAATAAAATGTGAAGTATATTAATTGTAAAAGTTAGAAAAATTTACAATTCAGATTTTAATCCGCAAAAACCCAAAAGAATTTGGGATCTCATGGCAAGTGGTAATACAAAAATCCATAATTGGGACATGAACATAGTCTAATAAAGATTAAGTAATAGCAGTTACACTTCGGTGGTATATGTCAAGATGGTACCAATCCTCCAACAATGATGAAGTTGAGTCAGGCCTTCCGAAAACCAACGCTAAGAGCGTTGTTCGGACAGATTTATCGATCTTTCTTCGAACAATTTCCGACGGCTTCCGTTTGTTGCAAAATATGCGTTGGTTACGCTCTCGATCGTCATCTGAAAAAGCATCTTTGCCAATTGCTCTCTAATCCTGGATTTGTTGTTCGCAGGATTAGAAAACCAACTAATGCATTCATCAAGTCTCGTTTGGGAGAAGTGGCCAAATTTTTCCGGCCATTAGACTCTATATTGATTCACTATAAAAATAAGTGGTCACAATACTTGTTTTTTTCAATGCATCGAACGAAAAAACTATACACGAACGTTTCATATTTCATGGTTTTTAAGGCAACCAATATTTTCTATCGATTGCATGATTAAAAAAAATAATATATCAAATATGATATCTCACTAAATTAGGGGTCGCTAAAAAACGTTTAGAATAAACCGATAGATTTTGGAATGGTTGGATGATTAAAATATATATTTTTAGGTTTGGTAACATAAAATATACAACATTACATCATACATTTACATGTAATAGTATATATATTTTTATGATATATCCATAATAATGATAAATAAAAAAAAACCCAGCAAAATATAGATTCAAAACTGAAAATGGATGAAGAGAAACGTGGAACTTTTCTCGATGTCTTGTTGTATTTTTTTTAAAATCAAAATGTGGTTAGTGTTCTTGGTCCCCACGGGAAAGAAAACACATGTATTTGGTGAAGATAGATGCTAACGTATACATACATTCAGAACCAAATTCCATACGACCACCACTGTACTTTCCTTTGTCCAAAATATCCAAAGCTTGTACCCAACCATGACAACAGAGTTTGTCTATGAGACATCTACGGCCAATTATATATATATATATATATAACTTAAGGTTGAGTGGTTTGTCTAGTAGACTCCTTCTCAATTTAGGTTCGAATTCCCATTTGAAAAGATTATGTGAAATATATAATTGGACTAAAATTCCGGTAAACTTTCCGATGATTAATATATATATATATATATATATAGATTACAACTATTTAAGAAAGGTACAATTGTGCTGTATATCAATAAGATAAGATAACTATATGCAATGTAAAAAATGTAAATTTATTTCAATCCCCAAGCTACATCTTAGCAACAACAGAGTGTCATAAGGGGAAATCCATATTTTAATTTAACAATATATCTGTCAACCAATCATATAACCTTCCATGTCCATCACACGTAAATAAGAACATTTTTTTATAAGTATAAATAACTTTCGGATATAATATTAGAACGACAAAAATCTGTTAGAGAATAAAACTATTCGTTCTAACTTCTATGCCATCTCGTGAATCAACAATTTGATTTATTTTTTCTGAACAAGGGTTTTATTAATATTGGGGCCGTCTCAACTAAGAAAATATATATATATATATATACACACGAAGAATCATTTTTAAATTTTATCCAAAGTCATAACAAAAATCTGACAAAGTTGCCCACATTTCCGGCCTGAGTAAAAGTATCCTAATCCCAATAAAATTTAGACATCAAAGGAATATATATATATATATATATATATATATATATGTGTGTGTGTATATACAGAATTTACCATTCATCTTTAAATAAAACAGAGTTTCTATGCAAAAAGGAATCAAATCAACAAAACGAACTATATTCAAATCGTCAAATTTTAATTAAATTACTTTTCAAAATTTAAAAGTTTACGGGAAGCACCAGACCGGCTAATTAATATACACGTGCGTATCATGTATATTTTAGAAAGGTCCACATTACATTAGAGTTTAAAATAAGACACCGTAAGAAAATTCTAAATTCTTGTTTTCGCTCAAATTAAGAGACGTTTAGGGATTTCCACAATTATTAAATTATACTAGGTAAAACCCGCGCGTTGCGCGGTTTATTCTTTTAATAATTATTTTAATTATAATATTTTATTGATATAAAATTAAAATGAATATATATATTTTTATTTAGAAAAATATAAATTATTATAAATTATATATTTGAAAAACAAAAAAATAAGTATAAAAAATGATTAAATTTATCAAAATTTCTTCCACCACTTATTTTTTATTCTAATTTAAAATAATATCATTTAGATTTATCATAATTTCTTCGTCATTATATTTGTTTGTTTATATATTTTTGTATTATAAATCAATAAATTTCATCTAACATAACAATAATATTTAACATCCTGCCGAAAGAAAACTGAAAAAGTTGAACACTCAAAGAGTAATGCGAAAACTAATCAGTTCTATTCACTTGAGAAAGATAGTCAAGTACTAATTTGTAAGTTATTGTTATAAAATCTGTATATATATATATTATGTTAAACTATATATGAATGTTAAAAAATTGTTATATATTATGAAGTTAAATTATAGTATTAAATCTATATATATTCGTAGAAGTGTTGAAATGAAAGAATATAATTATTTTTGTATTTTATATTAGATAAGATCATTATTACATATGCGTTGAATGAATAGGTTTGTGAAATGTTTGTTTTGGAGGTTTTTATTCTCAATTTGTGTTGTTTTAAAAAAATAGTTGTAAGATAATGACAAAGAAAATAAAATTGATATTATTA